TAATACAATAACTGTGGGAGACTTGAACACCCCTCTCTCAGCATTAGACAGATCTTCCAGGCAACAAATTAACCAAAATCTCAGGATTTATACTATACCTTAGACCAACTGGACCTGGCAGATGTCTACAGAATATTTCCTTCAACAACTATAGAATATACATTCTTCTCATCAGCACATGGAACATTCTCCAAGATAGACCACATGTTAGGTCACAAATCAAGTCTCAGCAAACTTAAAAAAATTGAAATCCTGCCAAGTATCTTCTCAAACCACAATGGATAAAAATTGGTAATCAATAACAAGCAAAACTCTGGAAACTATACAAATACATGGAAACTAAAACAACAGGCCCTTGAATGACTTATGGGTCCAAGAAGAAATTGAACAAGAAATCAAAAAATTTCTTGAAACTAACTAGAATAGATAAATCATACAAAAACTAGCGGGATACTGCAAAAGCACTACTAAGAGGGAAGTTTATTGCAATAAATGCTTGCATCAAAAAAAAGAGAAAGACTTCAAATAAGTGACCTCAAAGAACTAGGAAAACAACAACAATCCAATCCTAAAAGCAATAGATGGAAAGAAATAATTAAGATCAGAGCGGAACTAAATAGGGACCCCAAAAATGATACAAAAGATCAATGAAACAAAAAGTTGGTTTTTTGAGAGGATAAATAAATAGACAAACCATTAGCTAGGTTAACAAAAAAAAAAAAAAAAGAAGAAGAAGAAGAAGAAGAGAGAAGACCCAAATAACAAAAATCAGAAATGAAAAGGGAGACATTACAACTGATACCACAAAAATACAAAGAATCGTTGGAGACTATTATAAACAACTGTACTCCAACAAACTTGAAAATCTGGATGAAATGGGTAAATTTCTGGACACACACAAACTACCAAGACTGAACCAAGAAGAAATAGAAACCCTGAACAGACTGATAACAAGCAACGAGATTGAAGCAGTAATCAGCAATTATCCAGCAAAGAAAAGCCCAGGACTGGGTGGCTTTACTGTGGAATTCTATCAAGCTATTACAGAGGAATTAATACCAATTCTCTTCAAATTATTCCAAAAAATCAAAACAGAAGCCATTCTCCCAAACTCATTCTATGAGGCCAGCATTACCCTGATATCAAAACCAGACAAAGATACAACAAAAAAAGAAAATTACAGGCCAATATCCTTGATGAACATAGATGCAAAACTACTCAACAAAATATTAGCAGTCATAATACAGTAACACATGAAAAAAATTATACACTGTGATTAAGTCAGATACATCAAAGGATGCAAGGATGTTTCAACATACACAAGTCAATAAATGTGATACACCACATCAACAAAGCGAAGGACAAAAAAACATATGATTATCTCAATAGATGTAGAAAAAGCATTTAACAAAATTCAACGGCACTTCATGATAAAGACTCTCAGCAAATTAAGTATAGAAGGAAATTATCTCAATACAATAAAAGCCATATGTGACAAACCAATCACCAATATCATCCTGAATGGGATGAACAGGAACAAGACATGGATGCTTATTCTCAGCACTCCTATTTAATATAGTATTGGAAGTACTAGCCAGAGCAATCAGCAAGAGAAGGAAATAAAGGGCATCCATATTGGAAAGGATGAATTCAAACTGTCCCTTTTTACAGATGACATGATCCTATATATAGAAGAACCTAAAGGCTCTACCAAAAAACTCTTACAGCTGGTTAACAATTTCAGTAATGGTGCAAGATATAAAATCAATACCCCCAAATCAGTAGTGTTTTTATACTCCAATAACAAACTAGCAGAAAAAGAAATCAAGAAACAAGTCCATCGACAATAGTTGCCAAAAAAATAAGATACCTGGGAATAGTTTTAACCAAGGAGGAGAAAGTTTTCTATGATGAGAACTACAAAACACTACTGGAAGAAATTAAAGAGGACACAAAAAGGTGGAAAGACATACCTTGCTCTTGGATTGGAAAAGTTAACATCCTGAAAATGTCCATACTAGCCAACGTAATCTGCAGATTCAATGCAATCCTCATAAAAATACAAATGACATTTTCATTTTAATAGAAAAAACAATCCTAACATTCATATGGAACAACGAAAGACCCCAAATAGCCAAAACAGTCCTAAGCAAAAAAAAAATAATAATAAATCTGGAGGCATAACACTACCTGACTTCAAATGGTGTTACAAAGCTATAGTAACCAAAACAGCATGGTACTGGCATAAAAACAGACACTCAGAAAAATGGAACAGAATGGAAAACCCAGAAATCAACCCACATACTTACAGCCAACTGATCTTTTACAAAGGCAACAAGAACATACATTGGGGAAAGGACTGCCTCTTCAATAAATTGCGTGGGGAAAATTGGACATTCCTAAGCAGAAGAATGAAACTGGACCTGTACCTCTCACCATATACCAAAGTCAACTAAAAATGGATTAAAGACTTAAATATAAGACCCAAAACCATTAAATTACTAAAAGAAAACATAGGGAAAACACTTCAGGAAGTAGGACTGGGCAAAGACTTTCTGTATAAGACCCCAAAAGCAGAAACAACAAAAGAAAAAAAAATGGGATTATATCAAACTAAAAAGCTTCTGCACAGCAAAAGAAACAATCAACAGATTGGAAAGACAACCTATCTATGGAATAAGAGAAAATATTTGCAAACCATATATCTGACAAGGGTTTAGTATCCAGAATACATAAGGAACTCAAAAAACTTCATGGTTAAAAAAAAACCAAATCACCCATTGAAAAATGGGCAAAGGAGATGAATACACATTTTTCAAGGGAAGACATATAAATGGCCAACATGTACATGAAAAAATGCTCAACACCACTAATCATCAGGGAAATGCAAATCAAAACCACATTGAGATATCATCTCATGCCAGTTAGACCGACCATTATGAAAAAGACAGAGAATAACAAATGCTGGTGAGGATGTGGAGAAAGGGGAACTCTCCTACATTGTTGGTGGGAATGTAAATTAGTGAAGCCATTATGGAAAACAGTATGGCATTTCCTTAAAGAACTACAGGTAGAACTGTCATATAATCCAGCAATCCCACTGATGGGTGTATACCCAAAGGAATAGAAATTATCATGTTGAAGGGATACCTGCACTCCCATGTTCACTGCAGCTCTATTCACAATAACCAATATATGGAACCAACCTAAATGTCCATTGACTGAAGACTGGATAAGGAAAATATGGTATATGTACATAATGGAATACTACTCAGCCATAAAAAAGAATGAAACTCTACCATTTGTAGCAACATGGATGAGCTTGGGGAAAATTACATTAAGTGAAATAAGTCAGACAGAGAAAGAGAAATGCATGTCCTCACTGATAACTGGGTGGAAAGAAAAAGAGAGAGAGAGGAAGGAAGAGAACCACAATAATATGTTGAACTTTCAAAAGGAGAGGACAAACCTAAGGATACTAGAGATGGGGCAGGGAGGGAGGGGGTCTCGGGAGTGATTGGTCAGGTAAGCAGCATAAATAATAATTACCACTTGTAATAATGGATATACTAATAAAAAGAGAACAAAGAAAAAGAAAAAGAAAACTCATCTACCCTATACTACTAGGAAGAAAAAAAGGACATATGGGGAAAAATAGGGTTGGGGGAGACTACTCAACACCTAGGAAACTTCGTAACTAGAGCATTAACAAAAAACCTTAACAATCCTATTAAAAATATGAGCACAGTTAAATCTCTAAAAACAAACAAAAACAAAAAAGCAATCTGTGGTACACCTACATGATGGATACTATTCAACAATAAAAAGGAACAAACTACTGATACATACAGCAGGAATAAATTTCAAAACTATTATGCTAAGTGAAAGAAGGACACGGGCCGGCCCAGTGGCGCACTGTGGCGCTCCCACCGAGGGTTCGGATCCCATGTGGAGACCAGTTCCCGCTCACTGGCTGAGCGCGGTGTGGGCGCAACACCGAGGGTTGCGATCCCGTTACCGGTCAGTAAAAAAGACAAAAAGGAAAAAAAAAAGAAAGAAGGACACAAAAGGGCTCCATGTGGTATGATTCCATTTCTCTGACATTATGGAAAAGGCAAAACCATAGAGACAGAAAGTAGAACCAGTGGTTACCAGGGGCTGGGTGTTGGGAAAGATTTGACTACAGAAGGATATGAGGGGATGTTTCAGATTGATGGGACTGTTCTATGTATTGATTATGGTGCTGATCACATGACTGCATGCTCGACATTTTAAAAGGTAAATATTATTGTATGTAAATTGTACCTCAATGGAAAGAAAACTCTATATGAAGGAAAGAAACAGTGAACGATAAAAAATGGGCTTACTCAGATTAAGCCTGTTGCATATTTGAGAGCAGAGTGCAATTTTAGGTGTGGCTGGCTCAATTTCAGCAGCTTGGGAGGATGTTTAAGTGTATAGATAATGCCCAACTTATCTCTCCATGGGCCCAGTACTTCCATATGCAATGTAAGAATTCTCACAGTAGCCCTGAAAGCTGATACACCCATGCTTGTGCTCAAGGGTTATAAAATGTTGTGCTGAGAACTTATAAGAAACCAGGCATCCATGCTTGCAGAAAACCAAATGACTCTGTCCCTTCATCCTATAATTTTGGTATTTTGAAATCACTCTCTAGGGAGGTTAGTTTGGAGAAAAATACAGGGGTTTGCTAGTGGGGGTGGGGTGAGACGCAGAGGGGTGAGGTGCTGAGAGACAAGAGACAAATATGCTGCTAATCAGTTTTTTTCAGGTGAATGTGTCTAAGGGGAGTGAAGCCAGGGCTTTTATAAACTATCTGCAAATTTGTTCTTTCTCCAGGGACTTTCTCTGACTAACGTGTTCCTTGCATATTCCTAGAATTCCACCTTAAATCAAGCTGAGTGTACTTATGGCTGGCTTCTCAGCGCAGAAAACTTTTGCTTAAGCGATGACACACTGCAGTTGGAGCCTGTTCACCCACATCTGGAAGCCACATGTCAGAGGCAGCTGAATAAAACAGTCAACCCAGCAAACTTAGGGTAACAATTGTTGCCAAAATCCCAGGCAGCATGGACCTCACTTTTCTGTGGGTGCTTCTGCCAGTAATCACTGTGGCCTGGGGCCAGTATGGTGACTATGGGTACCCATACCAGCAGTACCACGACTATAGCGATGACGGGTGGGTGAATCTGAACAGGCAGGGCTTCAGCTACCAGTGTCCCCACGGGCAGGTGGTGGTGGCCGTGAGAAGCATCTTCAACAAGAAGGAAGGTTCTGACAGACAATGGAACTACGACTGCATGCCCACGCCCCAGAGCCTCGGGGAGCCTACGGAGTGCTGGTGGGAGGAGATCAACAGGGCTGGCATGGAATGGTAAGGGGCTGCGCCGCACTTGGGCTGGGCATATCTCTGCATGTCCCTTCCCCTGGGGGCTGTCTGACTCTCGGGGAATAGCAGCACCTAACACCTGAGCACATCCTTCCAGGAGCCTCACCAGTGCCTGCTCAGGGTAGGGTAGGGCTGCTGCTGGGCGGACTACAGCACGGGACAAAACCCCAGGACGGGAGGTGTCCATGGCACATGGACTCCTTTGTGGTTCTGTTCCTTCCAGAAGCAGCCCTCCTCTCAGGTTGGTCCAGAAATGTGGGTTTCTGTAATGTTACTGGACTGCAAAAAGAGAAGCACAGAAATTGAAAGTATTTAGGAAACTTTACAGCAAGTTAACACTGCTGTGATATCCAAATGACATTTTCATTTCATAGCAATTTATTTTTACCATTTTCGAAAAGTCTTAGTCTACAATAGTTTGCAGAAAATAAACAATTGGGCCCTCAGCACAGGCTGTTTGAGAAATACTGCTTTAGAGCAAGTGAATGGGGGTGAGGGGACAAAGAAATGTAAGCAGAGGGAAGTGAGATTAAATGGCTCTCTGCTGCGCTGATTAAATGTGGCTCTCTCAATTTTGAGTGCTGAGTTCCTTCTCTCTGCCTTGATTTGAAGTGGGTTTCATTGCTGGGAAATAGTTTATGAAAGGCTTAGTCTAGAGAGAGGAGCTGTGCTCTCCTGACCGCACTCTGCCCTAGTCAACGGCATGGAACTGGACCGAGCTTGTGCTTCTCTGTGGGGTGGGACTGTCCCAGACAGTCTCGGCCCCAGTTCTTGGTCAGGAGCCCATCCTAGTAGCCACTGACTGCTAGGCTGGTTACTCACAGCAGCCTGGATGGAGCCAGAGCTGCAGGGGCATTGGGAGAGAGGGTAAAGGTGGGCCCAGAGAGGAGGAAGCCCAGCTGGCAGGCTGCTGCGTGTGCTATCTGTAGAGCAAGTCAGAAGACTGCGAGGGGTTCCAGCAGGCATTTGGTACAGTGGGGGCTGGGAGTGGTCAAGCATAGCAACCTAGGGTCACACAACTAGTGGACAGAACAATGATGGGAAATCCAAGAGGAACAGACACTGATGGGCAGAGGAGCCAGGCAAGAGGGGGGGCCTCTGAGTGGCAAAAACAGCTGCCTTTTATTGAGCGCTAACCCTAAGGAGGCACCATGCTAAGTGTTTTGTATGGATTATCTCATTTAATGCCCCAAACAAATCCATAAGTCATTTCATAGGTAGACAAACTGCAATCCAGAGATCAGGGGTATCCTTAGCTGGAAAACTGGGATTTGGATCCAATGAATTTCAGCTCCCAAGAGCAGGTGCTCAGCCACAGTGATGGGCTGCTGAGAGCTGCTGCCTCCATCCAGCATGGGCTCCAGCCTGATGGCTGAGCTAGGACCACAGGACTCAGGGCACATCATTATCCTGGGAGAGAGAGGGTGGGGCTCTGTAAGATCACAGCAGAAGCCCTGCCCTGGAGGGATGGGGACCAGTGTGGTTTCTGTGACTGAGAAAGGGCTCAGACTGCCTGTGGAGGGGTGACGAGAGGGTCACACAGGCATTTGCAGGTGGTGGGGTGGGCTGGGGCTGCAGAGGCTGCTTCGACAGCCTTTAGTGGCCCATCCTCATTTGCCCCCTCTGCCTCTGGCGAGCAGATTTAATTATCCAAAACCCCTTCTGACAGATGGCTGACTCAGAGGCCAGGCTTGCCTGGGGGACAGTCTCCCATGATGCCCTGTAGCCACCCGTTGCCTGGCATGGAGTGTGGCAGTGACCTAGTTACAACCGTCCCTCTGCTCCTCCCATCTCAGGGGCCATGACAGGGGCAGGGCCCTCTACATCACCACTGTTTAAAGCCGTAATAAAACAGCACTCAGGGATGAGTCCTCAAACCCTGGAGGAAGATCCCTGGGCTCTGAGTCAGGAGGCCTGGGTCTGGATCCTGGTTCTAATGGCAACTTGTGGTGTGACCTTGGCCCAGGCTCTCAGCTCTCTAAGTTCCCACCTCATTTGGAAAATGAGTGGTCAGACTATATGGTCTCCGAAGGCTCCACAGACTTGCGACTCCTCCCTGTAAATGCACTTGGGTTTTTCTTGCATTCTGTTGATCCTTGTGTTCATCCCTGCTAGGGACAGAAGCCAAATGATGTTTAGTTTTAAACTTGCCAACTTGCGACTAGTTTGTCATGAATGCCCAAACTACTTGAACAAAAGCAAAAGAGGAAGAAGATAAAATAACATTATTTTGTTTGGTCCACAGGAGTTAAGTGAAAAGCTGACAGGAGAGATGTATCTTCCGTTTCCTCTTCCTCCGCATTCTTGGGTGTGCAGTGTCGAGTGATACCCCCTTCTGATACCCCCTTCTCCCCCTCCATTAATCACAGGGTTAGAAACTCACAAACATGCAAAACAGCTTCTTAACAGTAGGACTCAGCTGCCCCAGAAGTGAGAGCAATTACCCTGGGGACATTTTTCAGATGATTATGACTTTGAGTTCAGACTCCAGTATCAGCAAAAAATTTGCAAAGAAAGAAATTGCTCACAGACTGGAAATCAATTATATCTTCCCTTTGGCGTCAGGCTCCTAATCTGTTCTGGGGGAAGAGTTCTTGATGGCTTGTTGCAGTTTGGCTGCCTTGTAAGACCAGGTTTGCCTTCAGGTTTAAGATGAGGGAGCAGTCTCAAACACAGACTTGACAACAGTACACTGGATCCATTAAAGAAATTTGCTAATCGGAGCATGGTCTTTAAAAGTTGCTGCCATAATAGCTGCATGGCTTGTAATGCTGCCTAAGATGAGGGAGCAGTCTCAAACACAGACTTGACAACAGTACACTGGATCCATTAAAGAAACTTGCTAATCGGAGCATGGTCTTTAAAAGTTGCTGCCATAATAGCTGCATGGCTTGTAATGCTGCTGTTTATCATAGCATCTCTGTTGAAAACCACCCTTCAGGTGCCAGATTCTGAAGCATGAATGCTGGCCTCTGCCACTAAGGACAGCCAGGGGGGCTTTCCATGGGTCCCCCATGAGTGGCGTTTTGCCATCTCAGGGCATGCTCGGGTTAGTCTCAGGGAATCTTTACCTTTGGTTGGCACAGGCTGCAAGACAGATGGACCTTGTGTGGAAAAAGATGAAGATGGAATTTTGTAGTGAGTGAGGTTTGGCCGGAAGAGGTCTGGGCTTGAAATTGGGAAACTTGGATTTCACAGCTCCTACTTGTACCATCTCTTAACTCTGCAGCTGTAGGTATTCAGTTCCTTGTTCTGGAAAAAACAAACAAAAAAACCCACAAAGGTGTGACACCCACCTCACAACCTGTAGAGGGGTTACTATGATGCTTACAGGAGAAAGTATAAGGGAACTCTAAAGCAATTCTAAACCTAGAATAAATTACTGGCATATCACATCATATTGATGGGCCGTCAATGAGATTTAGTGAATCTGGAATTTGATGAAGCTTATTTGGGGCACTCCACCTTTACATGGAGTCTGAATTTGGAGGAAGTGTATTCTATCTATTGGCACTTTCTTTTTTCCCTGGGCTTCAAAGAATTCTCAGAAGACATGTTAAAGTAGCAATTTATTTTAGAGCTGAGTTTAAGAATTCACTAATGACAAGCCACATGATGGAGAACAGGAGAAAGGAAAACAATGTCACAGAGCTATGTCAGCATCAAGGAGAATCTGAAGTTGAATATGTAGAGCAGGAACTCAGTTTTCCACAATCAGATTGTCACAAAGACCAAGGCTCTGCACAGTACAGAGCAATCATCCTGATGTGTGGTTCTGATTATTTAGAATACACGGCACCTACCTCCTCAGAGGAGCTTTCCAAGACCACCTCCTCTAAACCAACATCTCCCACCCTCTACTCCCTCAACCTGCTTTTTCTCTCTGCACTACACTTGTCACCCCCGATTTGTATTTGTTTATTGTTTGTCTCCCTCACCAAAATATAAACTTCGTAAACATACAGACATTGTTGCATTCACACCTGTATCCTGTGCCTAGAACAGTGCAGGCACATAGCAGGCCACAGTAAATATGTATGAAAGACAAAATCAGTCTACTTAGTGCTTGAGGCAGTCCAAATCCCAGCAGTGTCCCCATTGCCCATAACAAAAAGGCCTACAGATTTTCCCAACAGGGCAAACCATTTTGTTTACATCTTTGATTCTCAATATTCCAGGATCTATAATATGGAGACTCAACTTTATTTTTCACATCTCATTTTGTTTTGTTGCATTTACCAACATGTGGGATGGTCTTTTTACATTTACTGGGGGTCTCTACAGCATGCACAGAGGGTGGCTGATATGCTTTGTTACTGCAGGATGAAGTCTTCATTAGCTTTCTATTCTCCCAATAATCTTAACGTCTCAATCTACTTAAAAATGAAATAGCAAACTCTATTTCAAAAGCTCTAAGGACTAGATGTTACATGGTATCCTGGCTTGGATCCTGGAACAGAAAAAGGACATTAGTAGAAAAACTGGTAAAATCCAAATATAGTCTGGAGTTTAGTGTTGCAGCAATGTTAACATACATGGTTCATAAACAGTGTTATAAACACACGCTTAGTGTTCATAAACACAGGAGACTTACGAAAGATAACATGAGGCGAAGCTGGGTGAAGGGTATGCATGAAGCTTATGTATTATATTTACAACTCTTCTATAAATCTAAAATTACTCCTAAATAAAAAAGTTAAAAAAATAAGCATAAGAACACAGGCTGGCAGAGTACATACTGGGATTCTGAAAGGCAAACAGAGCATAACAGAATCCAAGATCCCAGCACTGGAAGGGGCCTTAGGTATAACCTGGAGCAACCTCCTTTCATCATAGATTAAGAATTAAGGCCATGGGAGTGAAGTGATTGAAAACTCAAAGAAATTATTACATTAAATACAGGTTCTATGACCCTAACCCTAATTTATGTGGTAATTTATAGTTTATATAGTGTTGCTCATTCGCACATTCATTTGCTCATTCAT